TCCAGAAAACTTCAATGATTTGGTAATTGCATCATGAATTTGTGATTTTTTTTTAACTATTTTGTGGAACTAACTTTCATTCATTTTTTTTAGCTTCAGAGCCAAGATCCAACCAAAGAGGTTATCAATGAAGCAGTTCGTACTGTTAGAATAGCTTTAGTTTCTAATCCACATGAATTTAACAAGCTTGCAACAAAGGTAGGAAACCACTTTGCTCAAGAAATTTCAAACGCATCCCCAAGTCCAGAAAATTGGTGATGCTTCTAAGAATACGACCGAGTTGTGCATCGAGGCTAGTCATCTTGTATTTCTAAAAGCTTTTAAATTTAGTGCTGATAAAGTGATCCATGATTGTCAGTCAAAACTTGTTATGACCTTATGGGAGAACATTTAATCAAAAATTATCAAAACTCCTTTTGATCAAGTTTCTTCTCTCACTACTGTGGTTTAAAAGGTTCTTGCTGTAATAGAAGGGGTTGAGACTGTGGATTCATCCCCATTGAGGAGCATGGTTTAAGAATACTTTGGACAAGTTCACAAATTTATTGACCTCGAATCATCCATTAGTAGTGCATCTACAAAAGATTAAAATGAGAAGCTTCAAAAACTAGTTATTCGTCTCAAGGACAAGGAGTCTCTTAAGAGCAAATTTGTTGAGGAGGCTGATGGTTTGCAAGCTGAGTTAACAAATCTTGAAGAGGAAATAGATGTTTTGTATTGCAAGAAGGGTGAAATTGAATCTTCTCTTAAAGCAAATAAAGAAGAAGTGAAAATGAGGGAAGCTAAAATTTCCAAGATTAATGAAGAGATAGCTTTCATCAAGTCTTCTCTTATTTTGAATGAAAGCAAAGTTAATTCTTTAAAATTGTTGCAGAATATGTTGGAATCTTCTCAAGAAGAATTAAAGAATTTCAAGTGGGAGCTTTGATTTGATTACTTCTTTATTCATGTAGCTTTTTTTTCTAGGATTTAGACCTTTAAATTTTCTTTCACATTGTAATGCATTTCAAATTAGCAATAAAGATTAATTTTCTTCTTTTATTTCTTTTCTTTACTTGTGAAAAAAAATTTAAGAGATAATTTTATGAAACCTTCAAGATACTTTACATTCCACAAATTTTCTTGGACTCCAATTGAACTTCAAAATAATTTAACTTGAGACTGCAATTTATTTCACTTACAATTTAATTGATTGAATCACATAACTTGATGAAGAAGTACAAATGTGATTTATTCTTCGATCTTCTATCTTGGTAGCTTCATCATCATAAAGAATTAAGTCATGCTTAATGCAAGAGATTTTTTTTTTGATGTAACTGAACTTGGCAATGGGACTAAGCTGCCTTCTAATACAAAGAAGGATCAAGTCATAACGTAGTTCATATCTCTTTTTTTTACCTTAACTTTTGCTTAAGTCGTCTTGTTAAGGATTTTCAACTTATCATGATTTTTTTTTGCCGTAACTTTTGCCTAAGTCATCCTGTTAAGGATTTTCAACTTAGCGGGCTTTTTTTCTTTGGTTGCAGTTTAAGCTCTTGCCTAGGAGCATCTGACCTTTAAATGTAGCAGTGTTTCAAGAATCTACCATTAATTGGGCCAACTCTTACTCCATC